GATAAAAGTACCTTTTCATGTGGTGACAGTTATGTGTTGATTGGCTAGGTTCCTCCCATGTGTTTTATACAAAAATGGAATTGATAAACCATTTTTTACAAAAATTGATTTGTCTCAAAACTGTTCTGTTTATAATATGCTGACAATATTTCACTCAGACTTTGACATGTGTTAAATCCCAAATTGGTTATTCAAAATGAAAACAGAACTGAAGAGAAATGTAGCTCTCCCTCAACTGATAGGGTGCTAGAGTGAATTGTAGGCACCATTTGCTTCTAGTAGCACCGTTATTTTATTGGGTCATCGGGAAAGTCATGATACATTTTTGCCTAGAAGAATACGTCATGACTTCTGACGACTCGGTACATACCACCACAAAAGAAAAACTGCCAGTGCCAGCCATGACGTGCCTTCCGTTGTGAGCCACATGCCAAGTTCGGAGATGCTAGAAAACGGAGCATGTGCAGGGGTGGCTGAAGTTGTTGTTTGACTCTTTACTGAGCGCTTCCCATGTGCTAGGTCCTGTGCTGAGTCCTTTATGATCAAGACATTCTGATACCTGCACATTGCAGATGTGGAGCCTCTGACTCACAGAAATGAAAGGATTTGGCAAAAAAAACATGCAGCTAGTAGACAGAAAGTGACAGCACTAAGATTCATACTTCAGTCTGGCTGACACGTACCTGGATACTTTAAGTTCCTATACTGAGTGGTCTTTTATTGATACAGTAACATTCAATAGTTAATACAATCTTTATTTTTCTTTGTTAGTTTCTAAGTAACTTAGAAGATTTAAGTTAATGTACTAGTTAACGGTCCATCAGAAAATTCTATTTTTCTGCCTGGAAGTTATCATTAAAGAAGGAGATACTTAATGTTTTATAGTGATAATATTATCAAAAGAAAATTCATTTTAAAACATTTTATTATGGAAATTCTAAGAAAAAGAATTGATGAAATGCATAGATAATAAACTTCTTGAGGAAAATGATCATTTCTCAATATTGCCCATATACTTTATTGAAAATATCCCTTGTCACTAAATTTGCCAGGATAGTACAGTCTTGATGCACGAAGAGAAAGGCACATGTATGGTGTCCATGTACATATTGCACACACTCTTCCCTGCTGGAATTCCACCGTGCAGCTGGAAACACGGGCCTTACTTGAGGTTTGGGCTGCTGTCGCCCATCTGTCTGACATTGTGTGACCTCCGACTGACCCCATCCCAGAGCATGGACATCCTGAGAAATGGTCTGGCCAGCTGTATCAGAATAGCTCTAGAGCTTGTGGGAAGAAATATTGACGATTATGAGGTTCAGCTGAGGCTCAAGCGCTGAGAGTTCTTAATAACCTCTCTCGATGCTTTTGATGGGCATTCATGTTGGAGAATCACTGGGCTATTGGGCTTCAAACTATTACTTGTCAATAACTGCTCAAACTTGGGGGCTAGGTAATGAAGCATTATCAACTATAGATAATGAAGCATTGTAAGAGAAGTAAAAGCAGTTATAGCCCAGTTAAATCATTCTCAGTAGGGAAATCTCTAATGCAAGGAAACTAGTCACATTGGAAAAAATATCCACATAATTTAAGGGATTGTAACATCCTAGAAGGACAAGTGAAGATAGAAAATTTTGTTGTTGTTATTGTTTGTTTATTTGATAATCAACCTGCTCACTCCAAGTAGCAGTCTAATTTGAGCATTTGGGGCAGCCTACTGTCAAAAGGGGTCTTAGTATGAATTGACAATTTCATCTCAATTTTCCTGCTACTTTATACTCAGTCTCTAATGTTGGGCTTCTTAGGGCTTCCCAATGCTCACCGCGATATAGTTTTCAGTTCCTTACAGTCCCCAACCTCAGGGGACCTTAGAGCCACTGAGGTTTGCAACCTCAGGCCACTGCACATACAGTTTCCACTACACAGGCTATTCCTACAGTTCATGTTGTTCTCACAGGACATGCTGTTCCCACTGTACATGCTGTCCCCACTGTGCACGCTGTCCCCGCTGTGCATGCTGTCTGTGCTGTGCACGCTGTCCCCGCTGTGCACACTGTTCGCACTGCACACGCTGTCCCCCGTCACACTGTTCCCACTGTGCACTCTGTTCCCAGTGTGCACACTGTTCCCACTGTGCACGCTGCTCCCACTGTACACGCTATCCCCACTATACACGCTGTCCCCACTGTTCACGCTGTTCCCACTGTGCATGCTGTCCCCACCATACATGTTGTTCCCACTGTACATGCTGTTTCCACTGTACACACAGTTCCTACTCTGCACACTGTTCACACCGTACATGCTGTTTCCACTGTAAATGCTGTTCCCACTGTGCATGCTGTTCCCACCATATATGCTGTTCCCATCATACATGTTTTCTTATTGTACATGCTGTTCCCATTGCACATACTGTTTCTATTACACAGGCTATTCTTGTAGCACATGTTGTTCTCACAGCACATGCTGTTCCCAATTATCTGTGCTGCTCCCATGGCATATGGTCTTCCCACCACATACAGTATTCCTGTTATATTTCAGAAATGGACAGATACAACAGTCAGTGTGGACTTAACTGAACACAACAACTCAACAACCGTGAACTGAATATAAAGGACACCTATAGACTGTATCATCCAAGAACAGCAGAACACATTATTCTCAAGCTCACATGAACATTCAGTAAAATAGACCACATTCTAGATCATGAAACACACCTAAATACATTTAAAAGAATAGAAA